AAATGGATCAAAGGCATAATGTAAGAGTTAAAATTTTAAGCCTCTTGGAAGAAAAGATAGCAGTAAATTTTCATGACCTTGGATTAGAGATTTCTTAGACATGACACAAGTAACAAAAGCAAAACAGATAAATTGGACTTCATTGTATTAAAAAGTCTGAGCTTCCAAGGATTCCATTAAGAAAGTGTGAGACAAGACACATAATGGGAGAAAATATCTGCTAATTATTTATCTCACAAGGGATCAGTATTTAGAATATATAACGAACTCTTACTAGTTAACAATATAAAGACAAATAACCTAATTAGAAAAGAGGCAAAAGATCTGAACAGACACTGCTCCAAATTAGATATACAAATAGCCAATAAACACACCCAAAGTTTCTTAACATCATAAATCATTAGGGAAAAGCAAATCAGAACCAGTAGAACATACCAACAGGATGTTTTGTTTTTTAAAACAAAAAAGACGAACAATAACTAGTATTGGCAAGGATGTAGAGAAACTGGATCCCTTCTATATTGCTGTTGGGAATGTTAAATGGTACAGCTGCACTGTGGAAAATAGTCTGGAACAATTTCTCAAAAATCTAAACATGAATTTACCACTTGACCTAGTAAATTCCACTATGTATATACTCAACAAAAATTGAAACATGCCCTTACAAAAACTTGTAAATGTTCATAGCAGCATTTTTCACAGTAGTCAAAAGGTGAAAACAATCCAAATGCCCATCATCTGATGAATAAACAAAATGTAGTATTATTCACATATGAAAGTAATGAAAAAGGGGGATGTTTGAATACATGCTACAACATGGATGAACCCTGAAAACATGCTGTGAAAGTCAGACACAAAAGTCAGATATTATATGATTTCATTTATAAGAAATGACCAGAATAGACAATTCCATAGACACAGAAAGCAGAGTGAAGCGGAAATGGGAAGTGAACTGATAATGGGTTGCAGTTTCTTTTGAGGATAATGAATTACAAGTGCTGAAATTAGATAGTGGTAACTGTTGCATAACTTTATGAATATACTAAAAACCACTGGATTGTGTGTTTTAAAAGGGTGAATTTTATTGTATGTGAACTACACCTCAACAAAGAAAACCTTAAAGAAGAAAATATTACACAGAGGGTTTCAAACAAAAGAGGGATAGCTCCAAATACTGAAGAGCAAAACAGGCAATGTTACTAGATGACATACAAAGCAGAAATATTCTTTTTGTTTTTCTGCCAACAGTTTGTTCATATGGACAGGCAGAATAAACAGTTTTCAAAGGAAACTGAAGTTTAAATGGGCCAAGATAATAAATTATAAGCCAAAATATAGCTTAAAATAGGTTTAAGCCTTACCCCAGCAAATGCTGGAAAAGAACAGATATTTTATCACTGAATTACTGCCAATCAAATATACCACGGCAGGATTACAAGCGTCAGTAAACCACACACTGGCCAAATATCTAAATTGTTGAGTAGAGCTTAGTGCACCATGTTTGATGACAATGAACAACTAGAATTCATTAAGACCGTGGCTGAGGGATCAGAGAATTATATGGTCTCAGGAATGATTAAATAAACTAGTATTGGTTTACTCTGAATAGATAAGAACACTCACAAGATGGGATGGAAATAAGGAATCAGAAGAATCAAGATAGCCATCAAGTATTTTAAGGGTGGTCATTCCCATGGAAAAAGGATTACACTTGGAAATAGCAAAATATAGAGGGGACAGCATAGGTTTTGAAGATATGAAGACTTAGATTCAAATCCTGACTTCATTATTCACTGTGTTGGCTGATGCTTGGAGATAAAGTTTCCTTACCAAGAAAAGATTACTAGCCTGATAAATGGATTAAATTTAAATGCAATTAAATGCAAAATGTTTATAAGCTTCCTGGCATAGGGACACTCTACAATGCACAATGATGTTAGTTCCCATCTGTAGACTTTTCTGAGTTGTTCTATAATAGTGTTTTTCAAACTCATTAATGAAAGGGTCACAAAATCAGCACAGTGGGCTGTAACCAGCATCATTTTCTAATTAATCAGAACAGAATTGAAAATATTAAAGTAAATTACATATACTAAAAGTAACTATAGTGGTGAAAGTTGTTTCAATTACTCACATACATGCGTGTACTAGGCTATAATTTATCATGAAGCTGTGTCCAAAAAAGGGCAAACACTGAAAGTCACTGTTTAAGAGCACTGTTTTCTAAGTATATTCTCTTGCTACTTGGGAATTCAAATAAGTTTAGGAAAGAGACCATACCATTGAGGATTGATTCAATACATATCAGCATATCAAAAAAGTCCAGTATTAAAGATAACTCTTTTTGTTGAACCCATTTTTTCATATTCTTTTTAAAAATATTTTTTCTATATGCATTTACTATAGGCACATTAATCTCACTGACTCCTCAGGACTAGCATTTTGTGTTTGTGTATGAGGGCGTGGGAGAGAGGAGGAGAAAATCTTCTAGATGAAACAGGTACAACAGGTACAAGTTACAGAAAGTAGATTTTTAGTTTGCTAAGGAAGAATTCTTGACTCCGTATCTTCCCACTGCCACTAATACCCATTCTTTCCAACTTACACTCTAAACACACATTCAATGCACTTTAAATATTATTTATCAAACTTTCAATTGGTGCAATATCAAGATATAAAGTCAATAAAAAAGCAGTAAGCAAGAACTATCTGGTCAAAAGAAATTCCTTGGCAAAGTACCTAAGGGTGTCTCATACCTTAACGAACCCTGCACACAGAAACTACGCAGCAAAGCCTGAATCAGCTTCTTCAAGTGCAGTCAACGTGTTCTAATAATACCTAATCTAAAAATGGGCTGATGAGTGCAGCTAATCTTCATTATTATGAGCATCATCATCATCACTTGGAAGAGGTACATGATATTTAAATGATTCTGGGTTCTTTTAAAGTGTGTACATAGCCAAGATTCCTTTGGGAGGACGTGATTTCACACTAATATGAAAAATTGTTGCTGACATAGCCGACATCACATATTCAAGAACATCTAGGTTATTCAAACTTTCCTAATTGGAAGTTACAAATATCTCTGACTGCACTAACCTTGTTGTCACAGAATTAAATGCCCTTCCTATTATTTCCTTACCCCCAAGTACCAAAGCCACCCACCTCTTCTCCTAAAAGTTTGCCTCACCTACTTTGGACTACTGTTTTCATCCCAATTTCTGAGCACCCACAGTACTGTTACTCCTATCACTAATTTTTACAATTTACTGTATATGTCCTAGCTGGCAGAACTGCGAAAAACTTAGCTATCGGTAATATTGTAACTGCCTTAATGAAGAGGCATCAACATTTAACAACCTTTACAATCTCCCAGACTTCTAATAGTTCATTAAACATTCTTTGATTTAATAACTATAGTTAAGGGCCTCCCTGGTGACACAAGGGGTTAAGACCCAACCTATGAAGCTGTTCGCAGCCTCTGCAGCAGGAGTTTGATCCCCCGGCTGGCCAGGGAGCTACCCACATGGCGCAACAGACCTCTCTTGTCTCACCCGCTGCTCCCCTCAACAGTGTACTTCCGTCAATCTGCCTGTTCTGTTCTGTCTCTGGTGAATTTTCTCACCCCCCACCCACCTCTGACCTGTACCCCCACCTCAGACCTGTTCTTGTATGCATAAATAAATAAATCTTTAAAAATAAATAAACAAATAAATAACTAGAGTTAAGAGTGACAGTAGCTACTTTTGGAGCGCTTACTATGTCAGTTCCAGAGCTAATGAAGCACATGGATATTATCACTTAATCTTCACGACTCAATAGAGGTAAGAGCTATGATTTTCTCCAATCGATAAAGGAAGAAAGTGAGGCTCAAAGTCATACCCACATCTTGTCTAAGTTACACCAAAGTCTTGCCCAAGGTCATGTAGCTAGTAAGTGGTAGCGGGAGGCCTGAATCCAGGCAAAGCTCCTACCTACCTCAGCACACTGTAAACTTGTAGTCCTGTGGTAATACTATAGTCCACGAAGGATTTCGATTTCTCTGTTAGAAGTTTCAATTTCAACAGATTAGAGGACATCTTGGCCAAAAATCAAGCCCTTAAAGGGGATAAATTAAGAGTAAGAATTTCCCATGGACAGCTTTATGCCACTTGTAATAAAATATGAGGCAAAATGCCTCCCGTGTCCTTTCTATTTAAGGAAATGATATTATGGTGTGGGTCACAATTTCATCAAGTGGCTCATGACAATACCGTTTTGGATTGGATTTTTAAATAGGGCTCTTTCTCCCCGCCCCTAAGATGACAAGGAAATGAAAGATAGGTGTGATAACTGTCACTTCACAGCTCCGAAAGATGCCAGAACCAATTCTTGGTTAAAAAGAAGAACCAGGGCTCTCGTTTCACCCTGACTCTTCACACAAAGCAGCACCAATCCTCTGCCCCCTTCACACAAAGCAAGCTTTACCCTATTACTACTACCAGGAGTGCTGATTCACACGCTCTTCCCATCGCCGTCAGAAATGTAGACAGACATTTCACACTTGGTCCACACCGTCCACCGCACAGACTCGGCTCACTCTGGTCTGCTCCCGGCTCCCGGGGACACCTCATCAAGCACACCCTTTCGCGACACCCAACATGCCCACCCTCCGAAAGCCAGTGTTTCACACAAAGCAGGAGCTCTTCCTACAAAGCTGTTTTCTACCTCCGACTCCTCCCACGGCGAGCAGCCCTTCCCAGGCCGTGCCAACCCACAGACCCCAACGGGGTCCAAACCCAACGGGGTCTGGACTAGCCACCAACCCCGTTCCCCGGCACGCCTCGAACCCCCAACTCCAGCTGACCTTTCCGCAGCCAAAGCCAGAAAGCCACGCGTCCCCGTAAGAGAACAGATCGGGGGACACACAAAGCGGGGTGCTCTACCAGCGGGACCCTCGCCAGACGCTCTCCGCCCCCGGGCCCGTCCCCGCCCAGTCCCGGCCGGCGCCCCGCGCTCACCAGCTCTCCTCCTCCTCCTCCCAGCCTGACAGGCGCTCCAGCTCCTCGGGCCGCAGCGGCTCCACCTCGTCCAGCAAGCCGCTCTCGCCCGCCGCCAGCAAGGAGGCGGCGTCCCGCAACTCCTCGCTACTCGTCCTCCTCGGGCCCGACCCGGCCGCGCCGCCGGACTTGGCGCCGAGGCCCAAGGGGAAGCCCCGAGGGGACGCCGCGCCCGAGGAGGGGGTGGACGTGCTGGCCCGAACGGGGCTGCCGGGCCCGAGGGAGCCGGCGCCCTGCACGGCCCCCGAGCGGCTCCTCAGCTGCTCGTTCTGCTTCTCCAGCTTCTTCACCAGCTCCTGCAGCTTCCGCACCTCCTGGTCCGCGTTCACATTGGAGTTAACGTCCTCCATCCCGGCCCCGCCGCCTCTGCCGCCAGCCGCCCGCTCGGCCTCACCGCGACAGGGGAGCGGCGTCGCCTCCGCCGCTGCTCACTCGAGCCGAGGCGCCGGCATAGAGCAGGGCCAGGCCCCACCGCCAGGTCCCCCCAGCTCCGGTTCCAAAGCGCCGCTGGCCCCAACCGAGCCGCCTCATCTGCGCCGGCTCCAGGATTGGGGGAGGCGGCGCCAATATCCGGCCGCGGCCGCCATCTTCCCTCCGTCCCTCCGCCCCCCACAGCCCGGCCCTGTCGGTGACCTCAGAGCGGCGGGGGAGACGCAGCTGCCGGCCGGCGCCGAGGACCCGGGGCCGAGCTCGCGGCGGGGCGGGGCGGGGGCGGGGCCTTCGCCGGAAGGGGCGTGTCCGGCGGGGTGGGCGCGGCCATGCCAGCGCGGAAGCGCGTTCGGCCCGCCTGCGGGTGGGAGAGGAATGTGGACTTGGCGGCGGGTGGGGCTTAGGATCTCGAACACAGACTTGTCGCTCGGCCCTGCCTATTGGTCTTGGATGAGGGGCGTGTAGTGTGTTCTCCACCCCCAAACACCGGCGTGTGGGACCAGCGGGCGGATCTTAACCCTCTCTCGCAGCTGGTTCTCTGATGGCCGCTGAGCCTGGCCCTGTGGAGAGACCGCGCACTTAGTGTGGTTGTTCAGCAAATACTCGCTTGATGCTCGCTTGAAATAAGGGGTTGGCAGGAGCTTCAGAGACCATCTGTGACCCATTTCGTCCTCTGAAAACGAGAAAACAACCCCGACTGGCAAGAGGTCGAAGGTCAACATAATAATCAATAATAATCATAATAATCATTGTTGAGTGCTTACTACAGGATGGACACGGTGCTAAGTAATTTAAGGCATTATCTTGTCGATTAAAACAGTTTACTGGATTTACTGCACTTTAGCGTGGAACCGGGGAGGGGGCGCAGGATGAAAAACCGCTCCCCTGTCTTTGTCCGTTAATTGGATAATCTATGGGATCGTTTTCTTTGCAAAAAACTTTTCATACTGTGTCTTGATTTGTTTTTAGTTGTGTATTAAAAGTCCTTAATAAAAATGTTGGCATGTACTGATGAACGCTGAGAGATGTGTGAATGTAAAACTCTGCCTTCGTTGGCACCTGTTTATAATGTGTACTACCAGCAGCAAAACAAACCAACCTCTCAACTCTTTGTTTTAATCATATTTATTGCTCTTCAGATGTCAATTGTGAGCTACTCAGCTTGTGTTTGCAGTTTTCCTCTAATTGCCTCCTCCACCCTGAGTAATAATGATCCAATCCTATCACACTTGGGTGTGGTCTGCTGAGCCCTGACTTACATGGCTTTCTGGCTCCCACCCTTTAGACTTTCTGTATTTTCCTTGCCTAGCCTATCCTACCTGCCAAACCTGACACCTTTTCTTAAAACCCACTCAGAAAGCTTTTCCTGAAAATTCCACAAGAATACAGTTGTGCTCTTTCCTCTAGCATTATTACCTGATTGATCTTTTCAAGAGGTATTTGTGCTTTTTAAAAATGTGCTTCTTTTTCTAGGAAGTTTTGTTTTTATCTGTATACCTGACAAAAAGGAATCATTTATTTTTGTTTCCCATAATGTCTAGTGCAGTGTCCATTCAATATCTTGTTTGTTGAAAATTAAGTAGAATGTTAATACTGACAGGTCAGGAACCAGATAGATGTTTATTCTTAGCAAAGAAAAAAGCATTGACTATTTTCAAAGTTTGCTGACTATGAATATTTTCCTAGCTTACTTACTGAAAGGATGCACACTTACTCAAAGGATGTCTTTTTTTGCTAACAAAATAATTGTGAAGTAGTATGTGTTATTGACAGAATGAAGATCTAAATATCATTGCTATCTTTGGCATGTTTGAACTAGTTGGCATCATGACTGATGAACATCACGCTTCACATATGGCACTTTTCACCTGCATTAATGGTTTGTGAAACGCACTCCAACTAGGCAGGCTGTGCCACAAGAATACTTCAAATATATTTCTTGAAAAGAATCGCTCATATAACATAAAGTTAAATACTAATATTACTTGGGGCAAGGAGCAATTGGTGTAATATGGAGCAATGAATCAGAAGACCTGGTGGCAGTTTCTAGCTGTACCACTGTAAGGAAAATGAATTAATCAGGCTTTTTACACCACTAGCCTCTGTGGCTATCACCTGCGGTCTTGTGTTAATGCAGATGGTGCTTGGAAGTGTGGGTGTAGACATGTGTACGTGTGCACACCTGAATTTGGAAGCCAGGAATATAGCAATGGTTATGAGGATGAGTGGCATGTCTATGGAAGAGGCTAGACCACAAGATGTGAGAGAGAGCACAGAGAAAGAGCCCAAAGATTCCCTGGGGGCTTGGGAACTTGCCAGCTTCCTGGCCCCCTAAGCCTCCTGCCCACCCTGTACCTGGTTACCCCACAACAACCACCAATGTGGTCCTTGATCTCTAGTCCTGAGGCAGCTATACTAGCGCTCCACTCAAAATAGGGCTGAGTACTTCCTAGAATCTCCACTGCTACAACTCTGGTTTGTTCAAGTTGCCATTATTTTGTGTCCAGATTACTGTGGCGCTCTCTTAATGAACTTTCACTTTGTTGCCTATAATCTGGTGAGCTACTCCTTTTGTGGCAGCCCAAAACAATGCCCTGTAAGTTCCCTTGTTCATTCATTGGCTACCTACTGATCTGCAGTAACCTGCCTCTTTCTTCCATCTCTCCCCACCTCTGCTCAATAGGGCCATTTTCAGGTTACACTTAAGGGACACCTGGATTGTGACCCAACATTCCATCACTCTACCAACCACACTGACCTTCTTGATGTTCTTCAATTATGCCAAACATGTTTCTACTTGCTGTTCCCACTAGCTAGTCCATCACATTGTGACATGGCTGACTTTCTCCACTCAGGACTCAACTCAAATAATACCTGCTAAATTCACTATCATAAATTAGCATCCTGATTAGTCCCCATCCTCTTAGTCTGTTCTATATTTCCTCAGACATGCCATGTCTTCCTTAGTTTATTGCCTGTATCTACACAGTAGGATGTGCATTGTGTGAGAACAGGGTTCATAGCTATGCAGTAAGGCCTGGTGCCTAGAATAGTGCTTACCAGATGGTGGGTGCTTACTAACTGTTGAATGAATTCAGTCCTTCTAGAGAGAATGTCAGCACTCACTTCTGCAGCACATATATTAAGGAGAATTTCAGATGTGTCTGGTTTGTGTCTTAAATCATTAATGTGGCCATTGCTAATAATGTTTAGTGGTTGCTTTTTCAAATTATAGTTCCCTTTTCAGAAAGAGTGACATGTTGCTCTACGTCATCCTCAAAACTAGGTTATTCTCCACTTCCTGAGTGCCAACAGTTCTTAAAATAGCTAAGAAAAGAGAATCTTAGGTTCTCACTGAGAAGTATGAACAAGGATATTCCCATTCTGTCCTAAATCTTTTGAGGAACGTTCTCTTTCAGGGTAACTGCAATACTGTCTTATCTGGGGACTCAACAGTGTTAAGAGCATGTTTTTAAAAGTCACTCTAAAAGTAACTCTTATGCAGACATGGGAGTAGAGCTGGAGGTGTCTGCATTATGCATCACAGTTATCCCAACAAGCTTTTCAGGTGCTGTCTCTGATGATAAGCCAGCTTTGTTCCTGCATAAAGGAGTCGCTTTTTTTTTTTTTAAGGCAGGTGTGGCCCTTTCCATAACTTGCTCCTACTTGCGTGTTAGCTCCTGGTAAAACTCCTGACAAAGTGGAAAATATTACAAACCACTAAAAGTATTTAGAGTGAAAAATGATTACTCAATGGCTTGATGGTAGTTCATACATAAATCAAGGTACATGTATATGTATGAATATATGCCTGAAAGTAGTTTAGAAATACATGCTTTTGTTAAAAAAAAATTATTGTCCAGGGGCCTTCCTGGTAGTGCAAAGGGGTTCAGTCCCAGCTCTGTCAAGCTAGCAGCAGCCAGTACAGCACAAGTTCCATCCCCGGTCAGGGAGCTAATCCACATGGTGCAGCAGACCTCTCCTGTCTCTCTCGCTGCTCCCCTCAGCAGTGTATTTCAGTAGAGCTGCCTGTTCTGCTCCCCACTCTGTCTCAGGTGAATTTTCTCAATCCCCCATATCTCTGGCCTACACCCCAGTTCTTCTATGAAAAAATAAATATTAAAAAAAAAGAAACTCGGAGAAAACTAGGGGTACCCTGGGACCCTGAACTGTTCAGGAGAAAAAAAAAAAAACATGCCCATTGTAAGAGTTTGGCCACAAAGGATTTACATGCACAAAGGCAAAGAAAGCAGATTCTTAGTATAATAAAAGATCTATAGTTAATGTGAAAGCTTAACGGGGAGAGAGAGAAGAAAGGAGTTCAAATAAGATATCTGCAAACTCTAAAAATTATCCATCCACTCATGAACAAAATTCCAGCCAAACATGTTTGGCCCAAAGTGGGATGGCTGGGTCCTGAAAGCACCAGAACAAGTCCAAGGCACATACTGGCAGTAACCTCAAGAAAGGGATTAGGCAGATCCCAGAGAAATAGGACGGAAGAGAAATCCAACATTCAAAATGTACCCTATAATTCACTATAAGGTCAAGATAATGGCTGCCGGGGCCTCCCCAGTGGCGCAGCGGTTGAGCGCTGGGCTGCGAAGCTGCCCGCAGCCTATGCAGCGCCGGTTCGATCCCCAGCTGCCGGGTGAGGGCTCCACATGGCACGCAGACCTCTCCTGCAACCCGCTGCTCCCCTCAGCAGTGTAATTCATCTGTCTGCCTGCTCCGCTCTCTGCTCTGGCTCTGGTGAATTCTCTCACTCGGCCACGTTTCTGACTGTACCCAGTGCTTGCATAAATAAATAAATAAATAAATCTTAAAAAAAAAAAAAGATAATGGCTGCCACTCTCTGTCAAAAAAAAAAGCTAAATAAGAGACCAAGGACAAGGGGCAACCTCGTCATGTGTATCTCACCTATGTGTCTCTTCTTCAAATGTCTCTTCTCCACATTCTCCCTTCCTCCTTCATTCCACCTTCAATGTATCCACCTTATGCCTTTCTCCTTCCCAACTGCCCCAACTGTACCAGTTCCTGGTACACTAAGACTTGTAATGCAAGGCACCTACCTGCCTGTGAGTGGGAGTGGGGAAAATGGTACCCACCGTGCTGTGGTGCTCCTCCTGCTTTGTTGGAGATGCATTCTGTCACACTAATAGCAGCTAACAATTCCTGATTTTGTAATGATTTTTATAATACGTAATAGTTCCTTTAACATTTATAAGCGTCCTTTGAGGTAGGTGTTACTGTATCATCACCTATAAGGAAACTGAGACAGAGTGGTTAAATAATTTCCCAAGATGCCATAGA